TCCTCCTTTTCCTCCGCCTCCTCTCCACACACTCTCTTTCCTATCCTCTCTTTGCTTTCACTATCTCCCCACCCCCAAAGACCCTCCCCCTTAACACCCTTCCTTAATCATCTTCTACAAGCTTTCTCCCTCCTCTGCTCACTTTCCTCCTTTCTCTTTCGAACAATGTATAGAAAGCTGCGTAAATCCACTCAACTGAATTAATCAGCTCTCTCCACTGTCACAAGCATCAGTGACATCAGAGAGCCTCAGCTACATGTAAAGGTATCAAAGAGATCTGAAAATCTGGACAGTGTACAGTGTAATGAAAAGGACTTGTCTCCTTACAGACTTATTCTATCTCTTCTTTTTTTTGACACACTTAAATGTTTTAGATAATCAAACAAATTGCTATGTCAGACAACAATAATGTATAAAAAAGAGAATTTTCAAGTGATGATTTTATTTATTACAGTAAAAGAAAAAGAAAACTTAACCAAATCAACCTGGCCCAATGAGGAAAAGTAATTGCCCCAGAACCTGATAAATGTTTGGGGTGGGCTTAGTAGCAATCTCTGTGAGATTCTATGTTAATAAAATTATCATTTAAAATAGCATTTTGAATTTGCTCAAATTATCTTTGAAATTTGTTTTCCAAATTTACACATGTGTAACAAAAAACAAAAGCAGAACTAATCTTTAAGGGTGCTAATACTTTATTAAATGCAATAGATGGGACGTTGGAGGTGTACTGCCAGGTAGAGCTAAAATTTTCTGCTCTCTTTCTTGTCTTCCCCATTCATTTAAATTGCTGTTGACAGATGACATTTTGGCTTTTAACTGAGATTCATACTTAACAACGTAGATAATCATAACTTGTTCTGACTTAACTGGCAAGTTTTTAAAATTTGTTTTGCAACATCTAAAACCTCTTACCCTTCGATTCTAAAGATAGAGCATAAATAGACACCATCAATAAAGAAACTATAGATATGTAAATTAAGACATATTTCTGAATTTTAAGAGTGTGGAATGTAGATCCTGCCAGAGTGTCTCTCTACTTTCCACTTGATTGGCTCATGCTGAACCAGCATTGCCTTTCTAAGGTTTTGATACTGGAGTGTAATTTATGTAATCTCAGCCCAAATCAGGTTATCACAGCTTTTTGATTCAATAACAGGAAAGTTGCAACTTTCAGAGATGTTATTTGCTGATCATAGGAGATACTGCCAAAAAATGTCCATATCTGCTTTGTAACTATTGTTGCAATGGGACAGTGAGAACTTTATTTGTCTCAGACTGAGTATGCGGAAGATTGCACTGCACTAATTAGAGACTCACCTTGGTAGGACAAATAATCGAAGTGAATAACATAGTAAAATATCTGGACCTGCTCTACTGTGATCTAGTTGTAAGCAGAGCTTCAAAAAGAAAAAACATGAGTAAAAATCAAAAATAGAGCAGACATTGAAAAGACTGTTAAAACTGAACAGGCTGTTCACTATTGGGTCAAAAATGAAAGACCATATTCTTAAAAAATCCAAATCTTCCCATAAATTGAGTTTATTTACTAAAAGATATTTTATGTGATGTGAGAAAAAGTTTGATTGTCTGAACCAAAAGACAAAAACAGAAGAAATCTGTGAAAGGACAAATGTCATGACATGGCACCCTTATTACACTTGAACCTGGTGTAGATTCTAAGTTTACAAATCAGTGCAATATTTTTCACCATTATAAACCAGATGGAATTATATAATGTCTTATTATTATTATTATTATTAAAAGCACATGTTCATTACCAAATAACAGAACTTTCTGTTTATACAGTGTCATATTATATCTACATATTTACAATATAGTAAAATTTATTTTGGGGCAATTTATAAAGCTAAAAAGCACAATATAAACTTTTGTTTTCATTCTAAAACAACATGTTACACCACAAGGGCAAATTGTGAAGTGGAATTATTCTTTTCTAAGTGTAACTTCACAATTTCACAGATTTTAGTCAATAACTACAACATGGCACACACTTGCTACCACACTGCCCACACTGCTTTGTCAGAGTGAGTAATTATATCATACTGACATCAGCTTATATGCAGTGACTCATGCATATTTTTTCATGTATGTGCGAGTGTGGTTAAATTGCAGCTGCCCCCTTAAAATGATTTAATCCGGTTAAAAGGATTTAAAATTAATCCAAGAGGGCCCTACATTTTGACACTGCCACATTTTAGCACGTCTGCCTTGTAATACAACATGTTTAGTTTTAGCTTTAAAGGTATGGAATTCAGCCTCTTTAAAGATGCCATGTACTGGCATTTTGAAATTAAACCAACACTTAGTGCTTATGTAATCATTGTCTATTGTTCTGGAAAATTACTAACAATTCAGCTAATTTTCCCTGATATATTTTTTCTTTTTAGAAACCGTAGCTCAAAGAGACACTACATAAGGCATTATGAGGTTTAACAACTGTTTTTCTTTATATATAAATATAAATCCAACCTAACTTCAAGTCAAAGCAATCCTATGACTAATAATGTAAAACTTTGAAAACATCTTCCCTGCATTTACTTGTCATGAAACAACTTTTAGATCAATTAGTATAGAAATTTGTGTTTGCTCCCTTGTTTCTGCCATATCAATTTGTCTCTTACTATTGATTATATATTTTATTAAATCTCATATGAGAAATATCTGATCAAGAATCATAAATCCAAAACAGAATTAATGCCAAAATTAGGTATTCTCTAATTTTGTCAATTCAACAAAGAAGTGACTCAGCTACTCTGAATGCAGACTAGATGTAATGCTCTATCAAATGAAATCTTAATAAAGATATATTGACTTTTGTGGTGATAATTTAGATAAATTTTGAGACATTCCAAGATCATAAATACATTTGCTTTACTTTATAAAACTGTGGATGAGGAAGAAACTTGTTTATATATCTGATATCTAAAAATAATCTAAATTCAATCACAACTAGATCTCTCTCAGATGTCCATCACATCTGCTTTAGTGATTACAGACATGAAGCAACACAGGCCAGGTCAGTGAGCACAATCAACCACAGAAAAGTGAGATGCAAAAAGACAGGACTGGCAGTGTGCAGTGGATAGCAGGCACATACATTAAACTACTGAAATTTTACTGATGATATGGCAGCAGTGGAAACAAGAAGTGAAAGCAGATCCAAAATTAAACCTTTTAATGTATCTGTGTCATACAGAATTTAAATTAACCTGCAAGTTAATACACACTTCTGACCTTTTTTAAACCAAGAACAGGGTTTTGGTGTTTTTTTTTTTTTTTTTTGTTTTACTTTGTTGTTGTTTTTACCACTTCTTCTAAAGCCAAAAGCTTGTGTGCTTTAGTAACAAGACAACAGATGGAGTGGGCAATGGACTGAGCATGATTAAGTTATAACAGAACATCTAAAAAAAACATTTTCAGGAATAAATTTAATCAAGAAGGGAATATAAAGCCAAGCCAAAATTATTTCCTTTTAAAACAGGTGGAAAAAAAAAACTGGCTCGTTAGTGAAAGCAAACTGTATTTCTGTGGGTGGTGTTAGTATCCAACTGAGTTCTAAATAGGCTAATTAACATTTTTCTGTGCTATTATTAACCCTGGTGTGACAATACCTTTTTGATCAGAAGAGCCTAAATGCAGGTTGTGGGGTTGAATAAGACAACACTATTAGAGATTATTTATTGGATGTGGGACTCCTCTTTTCACCAGGACAGCCCGTTTCATCATGAGGCCCATCATCTGAGCGAACCAGCTGCTGGCAATGCATAATTGTTGCCATAGAAATAGTGTCCAGGGAGACAGCTGTGGCCTTTTAGCAGGAGCCACACAACACACAGAAGGTCATTCCTCACCTGAGGTACGTTTCCATTTCAGACTGTTTCCATGCAACAAGTCTAAAGGTTTAAAACATCTGTATAATGTGTAGGCGATCAGATGAACTGGGCTGCATTTAGACAAACACATTTGGGCGATAGTCTTTGATTTACGAAGAAACCTTCCTGATTGTTCTGAATCAATCAACTGCATTGGTATTTTGACATATTGTGTATTGTATTTGCATATGTTTTGTTTTGTTTTTTTTTTTTCCTAAAAATGATAGCAAAAACACAAGTCTTTCTGCATGGAGTTTGCATTTTCTCATGATGTAAGCATGGGTCTGACACTTTGGCCAACACTTTCACTTGTTCAGAACATGCTTACATCATGAGAAAAAGCAAACTGCAGGAAGACTTGTGTTTTGCTACATTTTTAAAAAAAAATAGCATAAAACAGCCAATATCTACATATTTGTCATTTTCTTTAAATGCATTCCAAAAAGTTAAAGCCCACAGACCAAATCTTCTTAGGAAAATATGTTAGAATAAAGTTGCTCCTACATCAGTTTCCCTCAGCCTAACTGATCCACAGCTGAGTCTGGCTTTGCATAAATGAGAATGATGCAGTCTGTGAGTAAAGCTGCCCCAAAAGCAGAGCAAACGTACAGTGTTTGGAAAGGTTTTCATTCCTATTTTCTATTTTGTCAAACAAAAACTTTTATGTATTTTCAGGGGATCTATGTAATAAGCCAAAACAAACAAATACATAATTATTAGGTAGAGGGAAATAACAGAACACATTGTTTTGTTGTTTGGCTTTTTATAAATAAAAGTCTGAAAAGTGTGTTCTACATTTATGTTCACCCTACTTTTACACACTCCAACAGTGTGTATATCCATCTCAGGAATGGTACAGCTGTTTTTTGAAGGTCTTGGAATTTTGTAGGAGAACATTTATAAGCAAGCTTCAACATGAAGAACAAGTAACACATCAGACAAGTCAGATGGAAAGCTGTAGAGAAGTTTGAATCAAGGTTATGTTATAACCTTGATTTTAGCTAGTAAAATTGTATTTTAGTAACTTTTCCTAATAGGACATCTTAATTAACATGAGTAGTGCCAGGCCAAATTGTCTATGTATACTGAGAAGAAAAAACATACCACTCTTCGATAATGTTGCTTCTCTTGGCGGAGTGCGACCACTTCCTGCTTTAGTGCCCTGTTTTTTTCCTCTAAGATTCGAAAGCGGTTCACATTGTAGACTGCAGCATGTCCCAGACCTTGCTGAGATGAAAACTCACTTTTATGCTGAAAGAAACAAAGAAATACAGGAATTAGTTCCGACAGTCAAATGGCTTTTAATTGGCTATTGTATACTCCAACACAGACATATTGGGAATGCTTAAAATGAATTAAAGCCCATGATGACTGTTATTGATACAATTTTATTGCGATTTTTGAAATAGATAAAGCACTGGAGAACACATGCAAATATAGTTTGCAGCACCCATTTACTTTGGATGCGTTTTGTGTGTTTTTGTTCATCTTCTGAATTTTCTCCATATTTAATGTCATTTGAAAAGTAAGCCACTGCTTAGTAAAAATAAACTAGAAGAAAATGTAGGTAAACTGAACAAACAAAATTGGTTATTTACAAAATACTAAGACAAACAGAAAAAAAGGAAAGCAATCTGAGCATTAGCTGATGACCAAATAGGCATTTAGCTACACATTTGAGGAAAGGGGGGAAAATGTTATTTTCAGTTTTGCTTCCAGCAAAGCAGTTCCATCCTGTGGAGCGATTATAAGGAAAAGGATTACCAAACATAAAATGCATTTGCTGCTGCAGTCAAGTTCAAGTTTTGAACCTCAATTGGATTTAGAAACATCTTTTTCTGCTTAGAAACATCATTAAAAGAAAAAAAAAAATTCTCTAAGCTAAATTCAAACACACTTGAGTCCTGTGTAGAAATACAAAATCATAACTTTAAAAAGCAGGTTGCCACCTTCTCCAAATAATTGTGGATGGTCCTTTTGCACATCAAAAAAAAAAATCTGAACAACTTACTAGAACGTAGTATTTGGAGCCTAATTAGGCCAAAGGCTATAACTGCATAAATTTTCTCATCTCTTTGAGGCCATCAGAACTACAGATGGAAAAGGAGTTATGGATCGATTTGAATGAGGTATAAACAAGTCCAACTCAAGATAGTTGGAAGAAAACCTATGATGGAGCACTCTGGCTGAAGAAATAGCCATAATCTTTGTGCTAATTATGGATTTAAAGCTTTGCTGCAGCAAAGTTACTTTTGTTGGCCTGCAGTTGCTCTATAAAGTGTGCCCACTCTGTTACAAATTAGAATTTTGAGACTAAAACCAAATTGAGTATGATTAATCATTGCTTAACTTCTTTCACCTTTAGTGTGACAAATTCTTCACAAATCAACTGAAACACAAATATCTGGCAGCATAAGAGGATACAATAACCTGGTTGTTAGAAGTACACATCCCCTTCATACTGAGTACAATCACAAGTCTGAATCTACAAAGGAATGACTTCATTAAAAAAAAAAATGAATCTTGAGTCCAGACTAAAGTCAAACAGAAAATGTGTGTCATCATCAGGAGGGATTTGTGGACAATGCATGTCCTCACAGTACGAAGGTAGAAATTTATAGAAATCTTTATAAGGTGGGTTTGACAAATAATGTCTCTCCTGGTAGAATTCTTAAAAGGAAGACGAATGCTGACATTTAGTGAAAAAGCTTCAATTTAAGGGTGTCATCAGTTGTACCAACAGGTTATTGCAGTTTTTTAAAGTAAATCTCCACCTGACAGATTATTTTGTGTTTCCGTTAAGTTTTTTATGTAGGCAATATGACTTTCTGCCCAAACATGGCATGTGAGGTTGTGTGTTTGCTCACAGAAGGATGAGGTGTAAGGCGACATTCACACAAGAACCACCTCTACTTTGCTGACATTTTTATATGAGAGTGTACACCTGAAAGAGCCATTGCAATGTGTAACTTAAACATGAAGCTTAATCTGAAATCTGACGAGAGATTACTCTTACTTGCTATCTGGACTGTTTAACTAAGCTAGCTAAGCACTGGCAAGATATATAGAGAAAGGATTATTACTGAAGACAAAAGAAACATTTTGTTCTCTTTGAACTCCACTTAGTCAAAGTTTAAACATTACTCTAATGAATCAGTTAACATACTGCCACAATTTCTGGCACACTGCTGAGCTAATAACATCCATTACTGACAATTAGCCAGACTTGCTTTCTCATAAAAAAAAAAAAAAAAAAAAAAATAGAAAAGATGTTCTTCCTGACAAGCAAGATTCTACAGCCGAGATGATGGACCTCTTAAACAGACAGAAAGACAGCAATGTCCACCTGCTCATACAGCCCCCTTGCCAAGAAGACAAGCTAACAGATCCTACGCCTTGCAAAATAAGGCACTAATCAAATGGATTTTAGCATCTGGCTGCCTGGACTATGAAGCAAACACATCATCTCTAATCAGTGGCAGCCACCACATCTAAGACAAGCATGATTCAGAGCAATGGCTCAGGGCCTGTGGATGGAGACGGCCGACACTGTGACAGAAACCACTCCTCTGTGTCAGGGAAGACACAGATGTGCCATCCAGTTGAGGACACATCATTTGAGTAGAGAGCAAGCTGAATCACTGACAGGAGTTACATCACAGAACAGGACAATGACACAAATGTGGTCTACGGGATCCTTAAACTGCATAAATTGCTTTTGTTTCACTGTAAGTAATATAAAGGGGAGATAAATAAATAAAGTGAACAGTACTCTATGCAGGCATGCTTAATATATATATATATATATATATATATATATATATATATATATATATATATATATATATATATATATAATATATATATATATATATATGTATATATATATATATATATATATATATATATATATATATATATATATATATATATATATATATATATGGTTTTTTTTGTTTATTTTTTTTTTTTACTAATTTGTCCACAAGTTTGTTATTGTGATGGTCCGACCAGCAAACTCAAGGACAAAGGCATAAAAAAAATAACTATTTAATTTTTCAAAGAGTTGAAAGATTTTTTTTACAACAAATTTCAAAAAGAAATATAAGAAAAATGGGCCCAAAAAATAATCAACTAAAGCATACCAACTCAAACAAAACTAACTGACTCTTCTCAATGAACACACAGGGGAATTTATATACAAAGGCTAGCCTACACACACACACACACACACAAGGAGGGGTGGGGGAGCAAACAAAAACAACCAATACATAAACATAAATAAATTCAAATCACAACATTTTACTTTAACACAACTATAAAACAAAACAACCTAACACCATAAATATTATAACAATAGAGTGAGAGGAAGATGTCAATAGGGCGAGAGGAGGAATCTTCCACATCAAATTCCCTGCTTCCCGCAGCCTGATGGTTGGTTCCAATTACTGGTTTGAGACAATCAACTCCTCCCAGCCAGTCCTTCAACTCAACCAAAAACAAAATAATTAATATTCTAAATAAACCAAGCGTTTACTAAAATGTGTGCACCCAATCTAGTAAACAACTTAATACCAAAACCCACCAAAGAAAAAGTGATATAACCAATATAAATATTATCAATATAAAACATTAACTAAATACTAACACTAAAGAAAAGAACACTTAACACTGAGAAGATGGAGGAACCTCCACAGTTATGGAAGCCAGAATCTTTAATAAAAACATCAACTACTAATATCCAATATTTTGTAACTTCTCACAATGTGAAAAATGTGACACATCTGTCCCTCTAAGACCAGTGTACACATCGTCTGATTGGTTCTTCAGATTGTTTAATACCCCATGCTGAAAACATCTGTTCATTTCAAATTGGCTCTTGAACATGACAACTTCAATGGCCTCCAAAGTGAGTTGATTTAAATCCAAAACTGCACCTTGTGGATGGTGAAGAATAGTAGATTTTGTTTATTGGATAAATAAATGAGCTAATAATAAATAAGCTGATAAGTCAGCAAAAACTAAATAATGCTATTATGAGTTTATTACTGTATGACCTAAACCGCTGTTTGAGGATATTGTACCAACTACTGAGTCTTACAGAAAAATTTAAAGGAAGGTTGATACAACAACAGCAGATCTTTAATGTATTGTGGTGCTAAACTGTTCAGTGATTTGTAAACTAACGACAGTATTTTAAAATCTATTCTTTGAGCTACAGAGAGCCAGTGGAGGGACTTTAAAACTGGTGTTATGTGCTCTATCTTCCTGGTTTTAGTGAGAACGCGAGCAGCAGCGTTCTGGATCAGCTGCAGCTGTTTAATTGATTTGTTGGACATATTATGGTTTTGGATGGCTGGATACAGGTTATGGACAGCTCAAAATTGAAAAATGCATCATGAATGTGTATTGGAAGGTGCTTCAAGAAAATGTGAGACCACTTAAACCAAAATCAAAGGGCGGTGAATGCCTGCAGAAATGACTTTATTAAAAGTATTTGAGCTAAAGAAGGCAACACTATTTTTTTAGTGTTCCCTAAGAAATAGCCTTCTTAGGGAACACTATTTCCCCAAGAAAAGTATTTTTCTAAAAACAAAATTACTGTTGTTGCTTAAGTGCAATTAAATTGCTCTCTTCTCCAGAGATTAAAAGCATGGTTAGACATCATTATTTGAACACTTTTTAAGAACTGAAGTAGCTTTTTTGAACCTTGTGTTGGTGTCTCCTATTGAGGCTGCCCTGCAGAAACTCCATTTGGGACATAATCCATGCTGCTGTGTGACATTGAATTTGCCTTTACTTTAATGTCATATGGGACTGGGACATTAAGTTATGTTCCTTTATCATTGAATATAAGTAGTCTTAAATTAATGGATAGCCATAGTGAACAGTAGGTTATGACTGGACTGAATGGGTTATGTTTTATAAGAAGAATTTGTGTGTGTGGAAACAATTGTGAAAATTAAGTCGGAAATAGTTAATTTACCCAAATGATATAGGTAAAATATTCTAGAATTATATCAGCATCAGACTTTTTCTACTATGAAACGCTCATGACCTCAACTTAGTATTGTTTGTTGATATTTTATGCTGTTCTTCTTTGTAAAGTTCAATGCACCCAATGTGAAATTATACAAGTTAGGTTTTTTTTACCATCAAGTCTTTCTGTGAGGACATTGTTCTTGTGTTTACCAACCCTAAATGTCAAAGCTGAGCAAAAGATGTGCAATCACCAGAAGAGATGCAGTGTGTGCACTGCACACAGGAAAGTCAGCAACCAAAACAGCTGATGCAAGGACATGATTACTGCTTTACTTACTTCAGTGGCATTTCAGAGAGACCTCTGAGATGCACATCAGCGGTCAGGGGCGTACAAGAACAAAGTCAGGCATCGAGCTGGGAGTCACTACTTTTTTAGTCGAACTAGAAGCCTACTCACATGAAAAACACAGCAAGCAGTGCAGAAAAACAGTAACACCAACGATGGAGAATCAGGGAATACATTATTTATTCAAAACAGACTGGAACTGTGGAGCCTGTGGTAAGAAAGTAATGGTACCTACGTGGGCTTTTTATTAAAGCGCTGACTCCTCAAATTAAAGTGATCCAATTTGATAAATCAAAACAGATTTATGTTTTTTAATTAATTAATATTTTTATATTTAAAACTCTAAGTAATAAAACAGTTTCCCTGGACGTTTATGTAGAATATGTGAAATTTTAAAGGATATTTCAATTTAAAAGAGCAAGATTGCACAAAGCTAACTTATTTTGAATTGTAATAACTCCCTCTGGTGTCTGAGTGTTGCAATTGCATGAGGACTGCTGATTTGCCAACTTGGAATGTGCAACCTCAAATCTTAAAAGAAGTTTCAAGCTCCAAACGAGGCTGTAGTTATTAGAGATTATTATTATTCTGTCAGCATACTCATGCATAGTTTTTTTTGTTAGAATAAAAATGTATGAATATTTCTACTTCCCAAGAACACAGCAGTTGCATACCTAATAAAAGTACATAGGAATTAGAAGACAAACAAAAATATAAAGACAAACTGTTGCTATACAACTAGTTGAATTGACAGCAGTAACAAAGTTCCTACCTCAAAAGCAGTCAAAGGCAGACGAAACACCTCTGTGTGAGTGTTTCAGTTGCTGCATTCAGCTGGACCTGGCTGGATGTGTCACTCAAATACAAATCCCCCAAAACTGTTACCTGGCTGGTGCTTTCACACAAAGTCTGGTCTGTGAACGTATTAGCTGAGGCTTCATCGCTCAGCTGTGCTGTAAACCCTGACTTTTTCTCTATCTCCTGCTCCCACATGTGTACTCGCTGTTCAGCTGACCAAAAACAGCATCACACATGGCTGCTTTCATTTAAACAGGATGTGTAAATCTGCTGAGCAATGATGTTTGAATCATTACATCACAGACAGCCATTTCTCCCTCGCTTTATGTAGCTGCCAAACATGCAACATGCAAAAGAATTCATGCCTGTTGAATTGATTTTATGTGATAAAACAGCAAAAAGTAGTGCATAGTTGTGTTGTGGAAGAAAAATAGCACATGGCTCTGAAAATATCTTACAAAAATAAATCTGAAAAGTGTGAATGGATTTATTTTCAGTCCCTCTGAGTCAGAACCACTGGTCACTGCAATTACTGCTGTAGGTCTTTTCAGGTCCACCTTAAACAGCTTAGCATATTTACAGAATAAAATGTGTCAAATGAGATCAGGCTGTTTGATTAGATGGAGAGCATCTGTGAACATCACATTTTAAGTGATATATAAGCATTCCATTATTGGATGTATACTTAGTGTCACTTATCTGCATGAAGATCAACCTCGATGGATTGGACATTTGGGCCAGAAAATTCAATTCTGTTGTCATATTACCAAAAAATCTTCTTCCAAAGTTGCTGCACCCGCCTACATGTTTTCTACAAAAACTACAAATGGGAACATCTCATGATGTTCTTTCAATAATGGATTCTTCTATTGCAAATCGTCCACGAGAGCCAGATTTATAGAATGCTCTGTTTTTTTATAATACTCTATGTTCACTAATGTTCTCTGGAAATCTCTATGCAGTTCTTAGTTATACACAGTTGGACTCCAGTTTCTAATTCAAAGACACTTGACTTTATGTAAGGATATCAAAATAGGAGGGACTCAAAGTAAATATACATCCTTCCAGGTTATTTGTAAACTATTTTGAAAACAATATATCATTTTCCTCCCACTTCACTATTATGCCCTTCTTTGAGTTCTTCTATCACGTAACACCCCAATCACTGCAATGAAGTTTGTGGTTCTAAGATGAAACCACAAACTTCATCTTAGAATTTTTTATTTTTATTTAAATCTCATAATATCTTTCTATGCAATTTGTATTTTTTTTTTTTTTTTACGTGTTACCCGAATTTAAACCTAAATTTAAGTCACAGTTTAAGTGGGGTTTAAGGCACTCAACTTAGCCTGCAGCAAGTTTCTATTTAGTCAACAGACAAATAAAAAGAAGCTACTGTACTAAACATATATAAAATTCCACATCCTGATCTCATTTCAGAGTCTTGGTCTTCATGTTCCAGAACATAGCCCACAAATAAGCATCCCACTGCCTTCCTCACTTCCCCTAAATCCCTAAGAGGGCTAAAATTAAAACAGTGTGCTGGTTTTAGTGAGGTTACATCAGCAGAAAACTCTTTGTGTGTTCTGTCCATAGCTGCTCTCTGGCTAACATGAGGACAGAGCGCAGGACAGAGGGCAGGGCTGAAAGGAAAAGACACCATGACTGCGTCAGCAAGGAGAGGAAGCAGAGCGAACGCTCTCTTCTACTCTGTTGCGCAGCAACACTTGCTTGCTGTCTGTTCCTATCTTTATGGCGGACGCATTACTTGCTGCAAATTGGTTTCCAGGCCTGACACGAGGCCCTGTGAGACAGGGGCTCTGGAACAGATGGAAACTGGATTGGGCAGAAATAGGCAATGACCCCTTTAAATATGCAGACTGCTGAAGGCAAAGTGTCATTTAACTACGTGAACAATCTGCTGCCTTTACGCCACATCACAGCCTGACCTTTTTTCCCCCCCCTTTTCTCTCAGCCTGGATTTTACATACTAAAGTGAGCATTTAAAGACATGCCGTCCTCTTCTGGGCCTGTTGCCTGTTGGTTTGTATTGGGATCATACCTTATTGGGATCATACCTGTTTAAAAGACGGGTGGGGTAGCAGACGAAGGCATTAAAGCATAGTTAAAAACCACCAAAAAAAATTTTTTTTAAATCAAATAAAAAAATAATAACTGACTTCACCTGTTAGCTCAGATTATAATGGATAATGAGGTGAGTCACCAGATGTTTCAAGATGATACAATACAATGTAAACAGATGACAATAAACCTATTTAACTGCTGAGTAGCTTCATCAAAACAAATAAAGTCATAGATCAAGATTCAGTACATAGCTTAAATTATTACAACTAAAAACTATGCAACAGACCTGAAATCTAGGTGTAGCAATGGACCCAGACCTAAGATACATAAAACCAAGTTCCCACTCAACCTTCTAACATCTGCAGAACATTTCCAGGACAAAAGCACTTTGAAATGCCTTGTTGCTGAAACTTGAAAGACAAACTTGAAGAAGCAGAATTCAGTTTTCATGCTTCACTAACCTGGAAAAAACTTCCAGAAAACTGCAAAAAATGCTGAGACACCAAATTCCTTTTAAAGCATGGCAAAAAAAAAACATTTATCTTTTGATTAATTTTACTTGTAATCACCCCACTGCAATCTAATTTATTTTGTCTTATTTGTTGGTGTTTTATGTTTTCATAATGTAAAGTACTTTGAATGGCCTTGTTGCTGAAATGACAGTTGGTATTATATTGCTCCTACATTCACTTCACTCATATTGTTGTTCACCTTTTGAGTTTTATCTTTGCTGGGATAGCAGTGGAGGCGATAAAGGCTTGTAGAGTGCAGCACATTGTTACCTTGCCCTTGATGTGGAGGAGGTGCTGGTGGTGTCTGTTTCTGGCCCCGATCATAGCAAGCTGTCTTTGGATCCACTGTAACTCCATCTGAGATTCCTTCAGTAGATCTTCCATCTTAATGCTGGTTGTTTGACCCCTCATTATCTACTGGAAAACAATTAATAAATATTACATTATATATTCTCTGAATCCCAGAGTGACATACACATGCTTTTAAAATTTGAAAAATATATATTTTTATTTAAAATTGCATCTGTTTGTGTCAATTTTTGGTTCTAGAAAGAGACAATTATTCCAGATTAAATGTCCTTTTCTCTAAATAACAGCTAAATATGATAAAATGTTGCATGTATATATGGTCATGTTGTTAACATTTTTCTTGACTCATTCAAGTTTTTGAAAGCTTTGATAGAATTTTATCACTCTAAGTGCTGTAAATATTTATTAAACTGATTTAAAAGAAGCATATCTACAAACATCATGTAGAATACATTCAAAATCTAATGTTTCAAATCGGTTTCAAAATTGTTCTTTTCATTTTGCAACTCTTCAAAATCATCCAATATCATACAGTCAAATTGAGTTCTAATTAAAAGAGTTCTATTTATTTGATTTGATACACATCTGTATCAAATAAATAGGTCAATAGCGAGCTGTATTAGAACTTGATGACATGCTGTGGATTGCATTCAGCAGTTTGAATGAGCAATGTTGGAGCAGAGACACATCTAAAATATGGAAGACACCAGCCTTCAGGGCTGCAGCAGCTCTTTGGAAAGTAAAACAAAAGGGATTGCACTAATGAAAGCTAATGACTTGACCCATTAATGACTTGATCAGAAAACATACGCAGCTAAACGCAGAAGAACTGGACCAGGAATACTTTCTGTGGAAAGAAAAAAAAAAGAGATAAGACAAAGTTAACAACAATAAAAATCAATGCAACAACACTAATTTACATTTATGCATAAATAGGAATAAGCAAATAAAAAGTCTGGACTGAGGAAAGGTGGACAATGTCCACAGGGAAAGAAGGGAACAACAAAACCAGGCTATTTACAAGCTTTACCAATAGGAAGTTTATTTATATCTTTATTCATCAATTGAAGTCTCAATGTTAAACATAGCTACAATAAGAAATAGCTACATCATAAATGCACGGCATACAAAACTTGCTAATAATTTAAGAGGGACTTGTGCAGCATCATCATCTTCCATTACCTTAGTCAACCATTCTTCTATAACTTAAAAATAAAACATGCTTCGATCCAAAAATCTGTCCCGAGAGTAAAGTCGTCCGTAGACTCAATATTAAATCACACTTGTAGTTTAACATTATTCCCTCAAATTCTGAGTTTGTCAGAATGTATTTGGATGAACTGGGAGTGGAAGTGTGTGGATGTGTTCAGTGACAAAGAGAGAGCTTTATTGAGTTATATAAGGAGGATTACTCATCACAACATGATGACAGGAGGAGCATCAACCTTAATCAGCAGGTGGTAAATCCCCGTCTATGTTGACCTGGATGTACCTTTACGCAAACAAACACTCACTTGCACTCATGAGTTATGGGGTTATAGCAACTACATAGTAGAATAGTTGCACATGACAGAAAGAAAGCTAAAATGTCATCCAAATGTATGATTACATTTAAAATCAAACTGAATATAAAATTAAAATTCTACAAAAAAAAAATCTGTAGAATTTTGCAACTGGTTTAAGGAGTTAATTTTTTTTTTCCATCACTAAAACTGATGAAATTGATAGTAAGATCATCAACAGAGCATCATTTAACGGAACTGTTAAATAATGAAATGTTGGTAAACAAATAAATAATTCAATTTCCTCTCTCTCTCTGAGCACTTTATTGTCTCAGCCACATGCTTGAACAGATTTTCTGTTCTGTCACCTTTGGACAGCTTTTATTTCCTTGCAGGGGATTTGGGAGGAGGAGGGCAAACACAAAAGCAAGGGAACATAAAGCTTATGGGTCCTACAGTGTCATGCAGTGAAGTCCAAATCTGTCAAGACCTCTGTTAGTTCAGTGATGCCAGTGTTTTCATTACAAATGTATAAAAAATGAGTGGAAAAAGCTCCCATTATATCAAAATACAAACCTGGCTCTTTTTTTTTTATTTTATTTAACATAAGGATGAACTTTTCCAAATATTTGAAAAAGTGATTATTTTAGTCACTATTTCATATGAGCCAGCCAATACTGTCACTTTTTAATGCAGTACTTTACTGAGATGTGAAAATTTGGGTCTCATTTATTGGAACAGACTGAGTCCAAAAAGGGTCCGTCTTCTTCTTTTTACATAATATTTCTTCAAATATATACATATATATATATATATATATATATAATATATATATATATATATATATATATATATATATATATATATATATATATATATATATATATATATATATATATATATATATATATTCCTGTAAAGCAAAGTCTTAAAAGGACATTGCTAATGCAATGACATAAATGCATTTATGTCAACCAAAGTGCAGTTTGGTTGACATAAAATGCATTTTATGACCAACAACTTTGATTAATATAGAGCTGAAAATAAAGCATGGAAGAATTTTAAAAATCCAAAGAATTAATCATCTTTTAAAGAGTATTTTTTCCTATATAAATGTCACCCATATAGTCAATTTGCTGTAAATCATTTTATTCAGTCTTGACTCTTTGCTCTTTTTCATTCTTGACATATCCAAATGACATGATGCACATCCTATCAAAAATAAGTTATGTACTACTGAGAATCACATTGTCAGTAGGTAATCAGTCTCATTTCAGCTTAGACTCTTTTTTTCAGACAGAATAAAAACATGGTAAGTCGAAAAACTGCTTGTTGGAAACTGAAATGGTTGCGTTGAGTTTACAAGACAGTTTCTAGGACATATACAAACAAAACGGCTCTGTCCCCTGAATGATCTTTAAAGCGCATAACTTGGAAGGCCATGCTGAAAAAAACACGTTTTAGTATTTGGTCAGGTCAAAGAACTGGCCTGTTCACAAATGGAAAAGGATTATACAATCAAACATCCGGGCAGAATATAACAATTCATTTCACTCTTTCAAAGAATTCAAGGGAATAATCCTTTGAATTCATTCATTCAAAGTTCTTACCTACTCAAAACAGTCCTCAATTTCTCTTCTCTAGAGGATGATGTCATTTAGTGATTCTCTTGTCTTTGTCCTCAGCATTGTCCATCCTCCTTCTTAAATAACAAAGAAAAGGAAAAATGCCTAAGCAAACATTCACAACAGACTTTGCAGCCTCCTTGATTGCAGTTGTGTTTTTGAGTGCATTGGTGTCTGTTGGCGCATTTTGGTCTCTCTAGAAGAATTGAATTATGATTCAGGATTTTCCCTTACTGTGTCCTTTTACTCTGGACTGCCCACTGTGTGTCCATATGGTCCACTTAACAAAAGAACACTGAAGAGGACTCACAATGACTAATTCACAAAGCCAACCTCTCGCCTGTGACAAAGTATTTTGAAAAACCTTTACAAAGTGCTGCATCTTTATGGTGTTCTAAATTTAAGTAAAATGTCCTTAACAATATAGCAGGTATTATAGCAACTATTGTCTTTGTATTTTGTCTGCAACCAAATAAATTTTGAATTTCTCTTCTTAGTTCCACTTAGATCAAGTTATCTTACCCTTTTAATTGTGTTCTATTAGTATTTTCTCTTAAATTTTTACTTCTTAATGTTTAATTTGTAAAACTTCCGTTTATTGATGATATCATTGGTTCTTTATGTTGACCCTTAAAATATATTCCTGTTTTCCCATGCAACACCCTTGTTGCACCACTAGGTGTCTTTTGTTGGAAAGTTTGCACATTTGGTAGGAAGGAACTTTCTCCAACTCACAAACCTACAAAACAAGTCAAAATTAATGTAATCCTATCACATTTTTTTCTGTATCCAATCTTTGTGATTTTTCAAAAAATACTCCATGTTGTCACTAATTTTACCTTAAAAATCATTTAATATGATTAAATGTAATATTTCATATGCCATCATCAATACAGTGCACGGATTTCACATTATTGCTGTAAAAAAAAAGAAGAAAACTGTGATGTTGGTGTGCTCCAGTTCAACATTTATTGAACCCAAAACAAACAGTGCATGGGTAGGCACAAAAGCATTGGTACAAGTTGAAAGAAAAATACATTTCTGTTCCCATAATCTTTTAGAAAATTTTTTAAAAACTATGTTTTGGAAATGAAATCTGTCTATTCTCCTGCATGGCTCCAGACCTCTTCAGACATTCATTCAAGATATATTACCAGCTTTAAGAAAGAGACAGCACACAGGAGGGAATGACATATTTGAATAATCCTTTAAGCCAGACAAAAGTGTTGTCCCAACACTTCTTCTCTTCGTTCTAGTAAATGTGTAGCTGTTTCAAACTCCAGTGGGAAACTCTTGCTTTCAGTCGGCTTCAGGTCTCGCTCCATCAACTGAAAACAAAAAAATTAGGCACATTCCTGATCAGGCCAGAGACATTTGTGGGACATGTGACAAATTAATTCTAATTCATACAAAAAATGCATTTCTTTAATACTAACCAATTTAATTACTGCTTTATGAAATTATCAAGAGTGGTGTATTCTTTCTCTAGCCTGGACTGAAAACCTAAAGCAAATCATAGAGCTGAAATGAAATGTTGGGCAAGAAAATGCTTCATTACCTCATAGGAGGTTATCTCCAGCAACTCACTGATGTCATCTTCTTGTTCTGACAGAGGTTTGTTGATCAACATTGCAGCTTTAGCCACATCTGGATGATAATGCTTCTGCAGTGTCTGTAAAATGGGAAACAAGTGACTGTCGAATGTCCCATCCGGTACCATTACAGGACTCTATCACGGTTAGACAATTTTTCAGTAGCATTAAATAACAAAGGCTGCAAGACAACACAGTTTCTTCCACTGTTGTCTTTTCTAGGTTTAAATCCAGGGATGTTTCTATGAACATAGTGATAAAAAGAGATAGGGAAGGGATCGCTGGTTGTTATACATAATGTAGATTATATTTCCCATACATTTCCAAAAAAGATTACTTTTCATAACTTACTAGGCTATCTGGAATGTACTTTGTACTTCCTGAAATTTTCAAAGAATTCACTGGTTAGTGTTCTTTAACCTATTGTCCTGAGACCTGTTACATAATTTCCTGGAATAAGGAAGTTGCTTTTCAGAACTTTCATGCAACTTACCTGAAAATGATTACTTTTCCAGATCTGTTTTACTATGTAGTACTAAAATTTTTCTAAATCTTTTAGAACTAAAAATAAAATTTATGACAAGTCAGTCAATCGTCCATGTAAAAAACAAGCTTGTTTTTTTCTGTCAAAGCCATTCCAGCATCACATCCTGATGTTTGAAGTCTGGTTTTAATGGACCCAGATGCACACTATTACACCAGTTAACATGTCCATATGCAACTGTTGCACTCTTCTTCTACAGCATTTGGAGCTTGTATGTGTCACCAGACTAATTTATGAATGCTGTTTTAAATGACAGTCTGTTTTTTAACAGTTTTAAATACTATTCATTTTATTTAAGTAGTTCTAAGTTGTGATGAAAAAGATTTAATAACAGCTGATGATTTTAAGTCCTGACATAGTGTTTATAAACTGAGTTTCTAGCACTACGAAAAATGAAAAAGAATTTATAACATGATTGATGACACTGAAAAGTGACGGGATGAGAAAAGAGAGTCAGTTTGAACAATTACACTGTTTGTTTTTTCCTTTAGTGTGAAAATATTTTTCAATTTCTCTGATTGCTTAAAGCTGCAAAACATTCGGTGCTTCAATGATGCAAACAATGCAACCATTTGCCACAGTTTGTTGCGAAAACGTACCTTAATTTCCCATAAGCTGCTCTCTAAGGCATGAGAAAGAGCTGGATCCACTTCTTTCATCACATACGGATCTTCAAGAAGCTCTGTCAATGTGAACAGGAATGACTATAATTAATAATTCAACCTTTGCTATGTTTAAGAAGCATTGTGCACAATAAAGAAAATTCTTACATATCGCTTTTAACAGTAATAATTTAAAGTTAAGAGCAGACCCAAGCAGCCATAAAGACAAATTGACTCACCATCTTCTGAGCTGGGCTTGTGAATCAGAACTCTGCAGGATGGATGGCGCCGAATTAGGTTATTGATGAAAGGCAGCACTATGAGAAGAGCTGTGGGCGGAGCTGTGAGGGCCAGGCGAGCCAGGCGTTTGGCAAACGCAGCCACCAGGTAGACTGGCAGGTGACTGGAGACAAGCACAAACATTGGATACACTTAATAAAGTGTGAACTTTACATGTCGTATTTTGTATGGGCAGAAATACACAAATACAAAGCAGCAAAGGGGGGACGGTCTTACCTGGAGCTAAGGAAAAGATTAGCCAGGTGGAAGAAGCGCGCCCTGTACTTCACATGGAAAACAGAAGGCTCGAGAAGATTATACAACTTTTGATAGAAATCAGGATAATCTCTGTAAACAAAACAAGAAAATCAAATGAAATAGTTTACATTTTAATGTATCACTTAAAGATGAACTCAATTATCTTTTCTTTGCTATTTCTGCTACTACTAAATAAAAGAAACACATTTGTTTTTATATGATACTCACAGATTGTGTTGATGGATGAGGACAAATAAGCCATTTAGGGCCAGCAGACTGATTGCCCCACCTATTAGAACAGAACCACAATATATTTATGTTTTTCACTTACTCATTTTTATACAACTTTTCTATGGATGCAACCATTAATGTTGTAATTTAAAAAGCTGTTCCAAACTTCAAATCTTAAATCAATCAATAATACATTTATAAATGTATGTTTGAGACATTAAACACATGTTTAAAAGTTTTAGATAACTCTGTATTTGTTAAAATAAGGAACCATCTCATCTATTTAACATAGTTTTAGTTTATTAAACAAACCAAAAACAAGAATCTGCTGCAGAACATCTACCATTACTTTGTTATAAACTTACCAACATCATAGGCAGCTGTTAAGAAGTCAATCATCAGTGTGGGCTTGCTCATGTGAGGCAAGATGGAGTCATGAAGGATCACTAAAACCTTTTTATACATGCTGTTGGGCAGCTATAACAGAAAGAGAGATTTGATAACACAGTGAGATGAAGGAAGTAATCAACAAGATCAAAATGTTAAATGTGTTCTCTAAAGATTTACCTTATACTTAAGAAAGCCCAGCCACATTCTCTCAAAGGCACGTTTGTGATCCTGAAGGGGAAACATAGAATCACTCTGCTAAGTCAATACAAATTTAAGTCAAGAGGAGATAAGAGTTTAAATATTTCACTTACATGCAGCTTTGCAGCCTTCCAATCCTCATGCTTGGCTGGAAAAATCATTTCAGGTTAGTGATATCTAAAAGAGGCTCAAATAACATTTTGTTTTCTAATAAATAGAGAATGGTTAGTAAAAACAATTCAAACAGACCAGCTGTTCACTGCCAACTCTAACTACAATAGCACTTACCTTCCTGTTTGACCATAAAGTTGGTAAGCTCAGAGTCCTGGCTCGGCATGTTGATGTTCAACATGAGAGTGAACACGTTGGACTGATATACAGGCAAGATAGCCTAAGAAGAAAAAGCAAATTCAATTAAGGTAAATCACAGTAAAAAAAAATGTCAATAATGAAAGATGCAACTTGAAGTGTATATTGTTTCCCACCCCTTTGCTTTTGTCCATGACTGTGGCCACGTTTTCACGGATGGAGCTCATCACATAGTAACGAACGTCTTCCATCTCAAGAAACTCCTGGAACCTGGAGATCAGCAGGGAGTTGTCCGAGCTCTGAGACAGAATGTTGTGCACCACGGCCTGTCAGCAAAACGAATCCAAAATGTCAAACGTTTCCCACACTCATAATGATTTTGAACATTTTATGATAAGATGGGAATTAATTGACATTTGCAAAGGAAAGTGTGACATATTAATTAGTAATAACAAAACTGAAAAACTCTTACTTGGATCAGTTCTCTTGGGAAGCTGAAGTGCTCACTCCAGTCCAGGTCTTCCAGAGGATGCAGTCCTTGTCCAGCAGCAAATTTCATCAGGCAGCATAGTGCACTTTCCTATATTCAGACATAAGATATGCTTCATGCTTAGATTGCGCTGG